TTTGGTTCAACTAATCGCCTATGAAAGTTGAATCATGTAAATTCCCTATAAAATTTAACTTACCGTAAGCAACTTAAGAACCTGTAGATTTTAGATTCTAAAGAGAGCGGTGAGAGAATCAGGCTTGCCAGGTTTTCGTTTTAGTATTTTTCAAAAATAAATGAACGCAAACATATGGCCACACTTACATTTGTGGCAGTAATGTTTTTGGTAGAACGAGCACAATGATGGTGAATTATACTTTAGTTAAGCGATCAATGCGGTTTCGCAACCACAAAATGGATAATATATGATCTTCTCATTTAATTTGCCGCGCAAGCATTTTGTAACACATTTTCTAACAAGCTGTGAACGAACCAATTGATGCAATGAAACATAGTACTTTCTTTGATAGTAACTGCTGTTTGGCCGACATTCCGCTCAATTTACGCCTACTAACAGAGGCGTCTGTATGTTTGTTTGTAAAATGCACATAAGAGTATGTATGTATGTATATATTTATACAAATATGTATCAATATTCCATAATCACAACTAATTCAATGAAATTAACTCTTCTATTGAAATTGTATATAATTAAATACATATGTACATTAGGGTGGTCCAAAAAGAGTAAAATCGGAATTTTAATGCTTTCACCCCTTACAATTGTTCTATATCGAAAAAAAGTTTTATTTTAAAATCAAAAAATATTTAGAGGTCGCTCAAAGCGTTCAAAGCTTCCATGTATTTTATATGAAAAAAATAAATAAATTTTTCGTACAAACAGTACAGAATTCTTGAAAATCAATATTTTTCGTTTGGAAAACTCAGGTTCTCTTCAGGAGATTTTCAATAGTAATACCCAATTGTTTATTTAACCATTTTTTAATACTAACAATTTTTTGTTGGTCCTCTTCATTGCATTTTTCGGGGTTTTTGGAGGTTTTCGGCGGACCTATAAATTATAGTTATACATAGTTAGTAGTAAACAATTTGGTATTGGTATTGGGAATCTTCTGCAGATAAACAGAGCTTTCCGATCGAAAAATATTGACTTTTAAGAATTCTATACGATTTCTACGAAAAGTTGTTTTTTTCCCATATAAAATACTTGAAAAACTTTGAGCGCTTTCAGCGACCTCTAAAAATGTTTCAAAATAAAAAAATAGGGGTATATTTTTCGGTATAGAGAATCCTAGAGGGTGAGAGCATACAAATTCCATATTTTCTTTTTCCACATGCATTTTTGGACCACCCTAATTTACATACATTCATATGTATGTATGTACTTATGCCCTTAAGTGTGAATGCATTTATGTATACATAAAGTTTTAATAGAAATTCTTTAAAATGTTATGCAACTTGGATAAATTCCGAATAGTTAGAAATTAGTCTTATCTCAGTTTTTTTTCTTCAGACGTCGCTCTTACTTTTGCTGCTTGCATATAAATATGTACTGTAATTCACGCAAAACCAAGATAGAAATCAGAAAAAAAGCATTGGCGATAATAGAATCCTACATACATAGATTACTTTCGTACATATATATTTAATCTATGCATCATGTATATACATTAAGCCGGATCGTTCCTAAAAAAAAAGGTTTTATTTTTATATTTGATGCCTCCGACAGGGTAACATAAATTCAGAAGAGTGCTGGTTTATTTATTTAAGGTCAGTTATCTAACAGGCGGCATACACGGTGCGTCTGATTCGCGAGTCATTTGTGTACGTTTTGACTCGCCTGCGACTACACACAGTCGAATAATTCAGAGTCATGCCGGGAGTCATATTGTTGTAACTAACACATATTTATACAAACATATCCAAACTTACTCACGGGTAAGATGCATGGTGTATGCCGCCTATAAGGCTTTCAAAATTTTACTCAAGTGTTGGATAATAATTCATACAACATACAGCAAAAACACATGCAATTCGCTGCAAACGCATATATCTACTAAAAGAGGACGCGACAACCCGAATCATCAAGTCGTTCGGACAGAAAATCAAAATCAATTTGATTCGAACAAAGAGTTTTCAGTACATTTTTGTCGCGCTCTCAGTGAGTGGGATAGGAATGCGTAAAATTACTAACGAAAAGTGTCCGGACACGAACGGTCTTTGGAAAACAAAAAGTAAACAGCCTGCATGGTATTTAAAATGAATTTTTGCTGAATGCCTTGGCAAATAAAGTGCGTTCAATAAAAGTCAAAGAATAAGGCCTTTAAGACTCAAAGAAAAACCTAAAGTATGAGGCCAAAACTGGTTTTAAGAGAGTCCAAAGCGAGCCGTATATGACTCATATAGAGGCTCATTTGATATATGAAGTCGACCTTCTCAAGAAGGGAATCCCCCTCATTTCAGACTCTGAAATGAACTCATTAAAACTGGACCCAAATAACAAGGAATACCTGATTTAAAGTTAGTTAAAGCCTCAGAATAACACGAGCATACATATACTTATACAAAATCAGGGAAAACACGAACTATTCAGAATGAAAAATGACAATGAAGATGGCACAATGCCGACACTGGTTTGTCTTTGAACCAAAGTTGACAGTTCTTCAAATTGTATGTAATGCTAGCACGCTCTGGAGTTTTCTCCGCCTACCTGCAAAACCTGCAGTTCGTTTCCTAACAGAGTTCCATTTTAAAAAGCATGGTATCTTAACCTGCAATGTCCAATCAGAATCCGGTATGACCCTTGGTGTTTGCGTAAGTGGTCCATCTAAGGATTACACGGTAGAGATCCTAAGAAAGAGGACTCTCGACAAAGGGTAAAATACACAAGTGATTGATAACTCTTATTCGTGGAGTTTCTGACCGACGGTTTAAACTTAGCTGACAGGCAGAGTTCTTAATTATTTTCGTGATCCACTCTAATAGAGACATTAGACTGCCCCGCTTTTTCCTCAGTAACTGGCCTGAAAGATTGGAAAAAATTGATATAATAAAAGCAATTCGCTGCAAACGCATATAATAAAAAATTCGGCGCTGTAATAAAAAATTCGGCGGATATGTACTTTTTAAATAATCCAGTGTTTGATGCAGCTCGATACAGTTTCGCAAAACCAGTTTTCAGAAATGTGAATAACTCAGCTATTTCCCTTTTGCCCTTAGCCGCAAAAATTTTTGTCAAAATTTTCAGCGAAAATTGTGGGTTTTGAAACGAAGATCGTTGTAGCAATTACGCGGTTTACAAGTCTTCATAAAAAAACTTATTAGAAAACTGAAAAATCCAAAAAATTAAGGATTCTCTATGGTTTGTGAAGATTCTCTATGTTTTTTTTTACCTTTATTGAAAGCAATAGAAAAATGCCATTCGTCTATCATAAAATACATTTACTTTCAGACAAGTTTTACCAATTTTTTTTTATCCGTATTCTCAACACAGCCCAGCTCACGCATGACATCGATTTGAAACAAAATATGTGGGTGCCATCCACCAAAGAGAGCAAATTGTGTGATTTGTTTGAGGGAGTGCCAACTTTTTTCTTCATGGCCCAGCCTATTGTAAATGCATACATAAATATATGTATCCTAGGGTGGTACTTAAAATATCTAAATGTAAGGTTTCTATGCTAAACCCTTTGACTATATCAAAAATTATTTTTTGTTATCATAAAAAACATTAACAAGAAAATTCCTTTTGAGCTCATGATATCCATAGTCAGGACGACTCTATAAGAATCTGGGTTTTTTTCGAGATAATTATTTGTAAGTCAGTGTTATTCAGAACATACGAAAATTTTGCATAAGTGCAACTCACTTTTCGAAAAAACTTAAACGACCGTTTTTGGATTTTTACTCTGTACGATTAATTCACAAAATTGAGATTTGCATAGCTTTATTGACCACCCTAATGCCACACATTACTGCGCACATTGCACTTACATACATTGACTATTCAATTTAAATTTCTTACTTGTGCAAACATACAAACATGTGTTACTATGAGTGTCATACGTAAACCAGTTTCACTTAGAGTGTTGTAATGTGGAAATGCGAAAAATGCAGTGCAGCGGGTGTAACGCAAATCAAGAAAATTTAAATCTAAAAAATATAGTGATTCATTTGTTTAATTAAAAAAAAACGAAATCGGCAAACATCCAGACGGTTAAAGGCGCTAACCATACATACATTGTTTATGCGTAGGTGCATTGGCAATCACTTTGTAACTATGTATGTATTTATGTACCGCTCAACAAAATTAATTTTTAAGTTATTTATGTGGAACTAAATATATGTATATTGCGCTGTGTGTCTTTAAAGTGATAACTAAGGCGCGAGTTAGCTTTAAAATTGATAAGTGTAGTGAATATAATAAGAATTATATTGATACACACATAGGCTGACTTCCAAAACGTCAATTGCTTTGCATACGTACAAAGTATAAGATTCCACAACGTCGAACTACAAAATATTGACAATGTATACTGTTCCAAAACGCAGCCGAAAAGTTATCGAAACGCATCTCTGGAGCAATCAGCGCATCAGAAACAAAGTTGATGCTTCGTTTGTTATTGGTTAGCATTGGTGTTTTATAAATGGAAAATTCAGAAAATTGTTCATTGCTATATTGAGTATTTAAAATATGCAATGTATATGGTTGCAATGTGTCGCAACTCTGCATATACAAACAGTTTGAATACCGCNAAGCCATACTCCCATACACGCAATCCCATGCTTTCAGACGGGGCTTTTCCTAGAAATATTCTCTGTGGAACGCTGTATTTGAAGATCGTTTAATAGCGCTGCCATTCGAAAGCAAACAAGAAGGTGGCTTTCCCGGGCAATGAGAGTTAAATCAGACAAAAAAAATCGAAGTAGACTTGTCGATGCGTGCCTAGAGCAAAGTTGAATGTGCACTGTGTCATTTATTATTCATATAAATTTTCCCTTCATTAGGTAATCTGTATTAAACCACTTGAAACTCTAGCCATTCCATGCGTGAAACAAAGTGAAAACATCGAACACGGAATCCCTATCGCCTCAAAAGATTCGAAATATGTCGTCCCAAAAGCCCTCCTTTTTCTATTTTTGCCGGCTGGGTAGCTATGCAATTACTTTCTTTACTGCGCCATTAATTTACATTAGGGTGGTCCATTTTTTCTTTCATAAAGCCATCCCCAGATCGAAAAATTATCAAAAATAACGAGAAACGTATATTTTTATTTTTAAATCGATTAATATTTACGCGTGCCGCCGGGGCTTTGAAGTTTCCCATGTACTTTACATTGGAAAAAAAAATTTTTTCGGAAATATTTTTTTTTCCAATAAAATTATTGTCCTTCAGAAGCCCCGGTGGCACGGGTAAATATTAACCGATTGCAAAATAAAAAAATACGTGTGGCCTTATTTTTGGAATTCTTCAGTTCTGGGGGTTGCAGCAGGAAAAATCAAAAAATTTGATTTTCCTATGTATTTTGGGCCACCCTAATATACATATATACACATGAACATTAGACACGTGAAAGTCTACGATTTATTCTTTCATATTAATGCAGACACCAAAAAACAAAAAAAAATATTTTCCCCTTACTAGTACACACTCGTATAAGTACTAAGTATGCATCCCATATTTTAAACACTTGGTAATTTGTTAGTAATTTTTTTGTTTATGACACTGCAATGCAATCGCAGGGAATTTACCGTTGAAATACAGGAAAATGCAGTAAAAGTGATGAAATAAATTTCGAAGCAACTAGAAGGTAGCAATGAAATCCGCTGGTGCTCTTCTTTGGTTCTGTTTTTTTTGATACACTTAATTTGAAGTTGTTAAAAATGAGGAAAATAATTATGAGAGAAATAAAAAGATTTAAATAAATTGAGAAAGTACGTTGGCAAATTATAGCAAAGAAAGCGTTCCAAGTACATTACTAGAGAGCTACTACATATTTTGCCATGCTCAAATATTATGAAATCAAGTGGCGATAACGAAAAGTGTTTTCTAAAACTTTACCGCACTTTTTCTTCTTATTTGATACCCCAATCGTTTGTCGATTTGGAACGATACCAAAAAAACTTGCCTAATTTCCTCTCTCCGCAACGTCCGCAAAAACTGAACTTTTCGGGAGAAAAAAAACTCGAAATTGATACTTGGTAAACGAAGGCTTTCATCTGTTTAATGCTGCTAATTAATGACCAAACAACGACCTTCAGCTGCCATTAAGAGCAGTCCCTTGTCACCTTCAGTCATAAGTTGTAACCATTGGAAAATATAAACTTCCGTAGTGTTTTTTTTAAACTGATGAAAGTACGTCGTCATGAATTGAACCAACCAAATTCAACCAGCACATTCTGGTCTATAAATCCGTGGTGGAAAAGAGAGGAAGAACAAAGTAGGCATCTCGTATATTTTATTTAACCCTTTAGACAAGATATAGATATTATTTGAGGTATGCACCGCGACAAGGGGATCTATTGTGCGCTCTTGATCATTAAAACAGCTCGCTGGGTCCTAACTTCTTTATGAAATCCAATAGGATGTTTGGTGTTATCGAGTTTATATGATGAGTTGCCGCTTTGGTAATTTTTTTCTTTATTTATGAAATATGGTAATTTGGTAACTTATTTTTCAATTTGGTAACTTTTTCGTTTCGGTCCTACATGTAACATAGGTCAGAACAATTTCTGATTCCACAGAAAGTGCTTCGGCGTTCCTTAGTTACTAGAATTATGTGATCTCTAACTAAGTGATTGAAAGTGGCTATTGCTATATCTACCGTTTCCTTTTCCAGAAGATTTTGGATGGTCCTATCTTTCCTTGTCAGTTCGTCAGCTTTGCAAGGGCAAACCGCTATCTGCAAACTCTGGCAGGAGAATAACTTTATCGAACGGGGAAATAGGGCCCACGTGCAGGATAGCAACGCACAAGTGGTGTAAATTGGATAAGCTTAGATCTCGCCCTCTCCTCCGATCACTTCTCCGATATGTAATTGGAGTTGTCTCCGGGAACTGCCTGGTGGGAACCTACACTGCTAGAACTGGTTCGCAGTCAAACGACTACTGTCGTAGCTGCCGTGATGTAGAGGAGGTCGAAAGCGTGAAGCATTACCTATGCCACTATCCCGCTTTTGCGAGGTCTCATTGGCGCTAGTTCTTTTTCTTTTGAATGTATAGCTGAACTGGATGCAGCCAATATATACAACTCTGTGTGTTTCATCAGAGCTATGAATTATTTCCATTTCTAAGGTAAAAGGAGGACATAAAAAGTCTCTAATATGGCATCACAGTGGACCCATGATGGCCTAAGTATGCCCTTTTCTTTTGCGAGTTGAGGGCAGCTAAGATAACCCAACCTAAACGAACCTATGGTTCGGCTGCGGGCTTAATGGCCTGTAATAATTCTCACGCCTTCTCGTCACAGCATAACGTTCAAGGAGTATCAGCTGCATTGGCACAGGAACGGCACAAATCGTTGGACCAGATCTCGAGTTTATGTAGTTGACTTCTTGCTCAGAAATTAGCTGTTAACATACCAGTCAGAATTCTTTGGGAGGCTAAAAAGTTCTTCATATATTTTCCTATTGTATCCTACCGATGGCTCCATTGCCTGTCGCAGCCCAGTGGCTTGGTTCCCGCGCTTGTTTTCGCTTCTCTCCTCAGCTCTTCTTTGATTGTGCGTGGTCCTACCGCAAAGAGGAACGCGGGGCCTATTGATGTCGTTGCTATCGCCTGTATGTCAAGAAAGTCCGCCTCCTCATTACGCTCTATGCCTTTATGGGTCAGAACCCGAAGTGGCTTCAGGCGAGGATTAGATTCCGCCTGCAGTTTTCAGTGGCCACCAAGTTGAGTTGCAGAATACCAGCTCTAATTTGGATTGGATACGACCTTAAAAAACGTCTACTCTGTTAGTGGAGTTCAGGTTTTGTGTGAAAAGATGCGCCTTCTGTCCGATAGTAGATAGTAGGAGGTCCAAAGGAGCTTCTCAGACTAGCCGAGCGTTACCTCTGTGGTTAAATTTAATTAGGAAGGGTTCAGACTCGCCAAAACTCAACTCTTCCCAGCTGCACTTAATATGCACTTGTGTGCCCCAAGAGCCCACAAATAGCACGTAGCAAATCACTTAACTTGATTCCTGTTGTTTTCCAACGCCAATTTCCGTAAAATGAATGATAGCAAGCAAATACAATGGCAAACCACAAAAAGCGGATAACAAAGGTAAAGTTGGAGCTAAAAAAGGGGGAGCGTAGCCGCAAAAAAAAACCAAACGACTGGACACACGATAAACAATACTCGTGAGGTCAAAACAGTAAACTGCTCCGGAAAAGCGATGATCTGTGTATATGTATTAAAACAATTGTGGCACAAACAAAACATGCAACATCCGAGCGCAACACAGTGCGTACAAATCAATTGTCTGCGTTTGCCTGCAAACAAAAAAAGAGGACACCTTGCAGGATAAGTGGCAGCAAAAAAAAATCTATTGAAAAATTGTGAAAAAAAGAAAAAAAAGTTTATTGAAGGGTGGTTGGCTCAACGAAGGGAGAGTGAAAAAATAAAAGGCCCGCATACAAACTGGCCACTGGCGGCATGCAACGCATACAGTTCAGATTTGCTTCTTTAGCCGCTATCGACTGCTCGCATATTCCATTGCTGTGGTCAATTGCTTGTATTCAATAATGCTGCACGTGCTTGAAATTTTGAATGAGCTTCTTTTTTTCTATGTGCGCAGCTTTCACTTTTGAATCCAACTGCTTGCTATTAGCATTCAGGCTATTCATTTGCCATGTCCAAATGCCACTTTGATTCCCTTTTTTTTGGTGTCCTGCGTGCGCATTTTTCATGGCATATTTTGGGGCATTCGATTTGATTGTCGGCCTCGGCTGCTGTGCGTGCGTTTCATTATCATATAATTTGCTCTCTTTTTTTTGCTCTTTTTTGATTGAAGAACAGTTCGTTGTCATTTGTAAATGGGATGTTATCAATTTTCAAGATGATTGAATTGACCTTTTTGTTCCTAACTGCGGTAGGGGATGGAGTACAAGTCGGGAGAAGGCTAACCAAAGTAGATAAATTGATAAAATACAATCATTTTATGGCATGCCATAAATTTGTTAGGCGCATTTTTTAAAGAAAAAATTTGCCTTATCATATTTCAATGAAAAGAGGAAGGAAGTATAGAAAAGTGAAGGAAAGTATAGAAAGGACTATGTATTCTAGGATGTACATTAGACTGGGCCTTTCACATATACACAGTTATTTATGTATGTTTGAACTGGAATTATTTTAATTTCGTTTTAAGTTGTTTGCGGTTTTTGTGGTATTACTTTTAAGTCAAGAAACATTTTTTTTTTTTTTTTCATTTCGTTCCAATTTTTTTTCCTATGTTATCTTTTCCGCTGTTTCTCTACTTCTTCGTATTAAAAGAGAGTTGCTCTTTTTTGATTCATGTTCCAATACCATTTCGTTTAAATGTTGTTATTTTGGATTTTATAATATTAAATTTTTTCGTGGCAAATAAATGTGATTTTATTGTTTTAAAATATGTTCCACTTCCAATTCGTTCTTGTTTCGAATTATTCAGAATAATCTTTTACTTCTTTTCAAAATTTATCACGTTTAACTTTCAAATTTGATTTTAATGCTTCTCTCAAGCAGCACACTGATGTATAGCTTAGTGTAAATTTACGAATTTTGTTATAAATCTGATTAATTGTACCAAAATTCACAAATTTACACCAAGTTATACACCATTGTGCCACTTGAGTTAGCTCCGTTTTTCAATTTATTTTTGTTCCAAATCTTATTTATTTCGCTTGTGATATTTTGTTCCTTAATTAGTTTAATGCGTTGAATTTAAATTATTTACCGTGTGAGGGTATATAAGCAATTTAACACCAAAAAGTTGGTTTACTTTTATTTGGTTCTGGTTTCATTTTCTTCCAACGCTTTTTTATTGTCATCTAATCAATTTCTTGTCATGGCTTTTTAATTAAAAATAATAATTTCTACTTTTTATTTTATATTCCAATTCCTGTTCATTTCAGTTGTTAATTTTAATTTGTTCTTATTTTTCATTACAGTCTTATCAATATCTTTTTCTATTTTTTTTTTTTATAAAAAATATGTATGTTTTTTAAATTAAGTTCCAATAATCGCTTTGCTTGCCATACTTTATTTATTATTTAATTGAATTTTTATTTATTCGCTAATTGATTTTTTTCTGGTATGTCAATGCGATTTCAACCAACCTGTACGTTTGTTTTGTTACTTTAATGCGAAATCCATTCTCTATTTCTTTGAATTTGAAACAAATTACATATTTTCATTGTTTCTTTCAATTTAAATACTCTCTGTTGTTTTTCTATGTCTTTTTTTTTTAAATAGTTACGTTTTTACTATAATAAAACAGCTGAGCAGCACATTTAAATAATGCGTCACATACACTTTGTTCTGATTTCGATTTTTTCCACATCTAGTTTTTCGTTTCTCCTAACTTACATACATATTTTTTTATTTTTTATTTTTGGACACATAATTTCTGCTTTTAAAGGTTGGTTTCAATTCCATTTCGTTTCTGTACTGATAATTTTACCTTGCGAGAGAGTGATACATTGTGTTTGCATTTCTCCAAACGAGAAGGAAAAAGTAATTCCAAGCTGAAGTCGTTTCATGTACAGCTCGTTTCGTTGGTTATTATTTTGCATCTGGAAAACTAACTTCCTTCTAGCGAAATCAAGTGAACTTTATTTCATTTCGTTGTGATGTTCCACTTTAATTATTTTTTGATTTCCTTGTGTTCCAATTTTATGGTTTTTGCATTCCAAATTTAAACTGTTCCGTTCCATTGGTTTTACTTTCAAGTGAAACTTCTGTCTCTTAAAAAAAACTGAATTTTTAAATTTTAAGTGGTTTCAACTTCAATTCGTTTTGCTGGCAGTTATCCAATTTAATTTCTGTTCACTATTTCCGATTTCAGTTTGTTTCCCTTTCGATATGTGCAAGTTATTTCACCCACTAATATTAATTGAATTTCTTCTTGTAAGTTAAATCAAATTGAAAAAAAGAATTTATTCCAATTCCATTTTGTTCCAGTTTATTTTATTACCTGCATTCTTTGCCTCAATTTCTTTGTTTAAAAAAAAAAATCATTTCCGGTTCTAAATTTTTTGTTGTTCTAATTCCATTTACGTTAATGCAAAATTGAATTTCTATGCACATCTAGGTGTTTAAAATGAATTAATTTTTTCTGAGTCTTGCCTTGAAAGAACATTTCATTTTCTAAGGATTTCATTTTGTTCCTGTTAATTTTATTGCCTTTATTCTTTCCTTCAGCTTCTTTAAATTTTATACAAATTTTTTTCGACTTCTCAATTCCTAATCGTTCCAATTCCAACTAATTTCTCTACTTGAATGGGAAATTCAGCTCTATATCTTGGACTATAAAATTAATTAATTATTTCCAGTCTACCAAATAGACTTTTTGCTTGTAAAGTCTGTGAGATTAAAAACATTTCAAATTTGTTCCGAATTCAATTTGTTTAAATTTAATAGGGTTTCAGTTGGTTTGACTATCTTTGGCACTTCTTTGAATTTCAAACAATATGACGTTTATTTTGTGCTATCAGTATTTCGCTGCAGCATTGAACCTTAATTAGAATTAATTTTCTTCAGCTTGAAATTAAAATGAATTAATTATTTTGAGTCTTGCAAAATTAAATATTGTTTCAAAATTTGTTCAATTTCATTTAGCTCTCGATTTGCTTATGTTTCAGCTGGGTTGTTTGTGTGCAATATTTTCCTAAATTTCTTTGAGTTGTAAACAGAAAAATTCGCCTGTTTGATTTCTTGTTGTTTCAATTCATTTGTTCCGCTTCCCATAGCTTGACCGAAATGCAAAATTTGTTTCCCTATTTCTTCGAATTTGAGGCGAATAGTTCAGGCTTTATATTCGTTGTTTCGATTCCAATTCGTTCCTTAAATAGTTTAATTAAAATTTTAGAATCACTTTAGTCTCAGTTTGTTCCAATTACATTAAGTGCTAACTATTATTTTATCTGTTCTTTAGAATCCAACATAAAAATGTTGCTAGACGTCAACGTGCAAAGCCGGCGCTGTTGGATGAACTCACATTACTTCCTTTTCCACTATTTTTCTGCTATTACACTCGGCTTCAGCTATAACAACAATAACTGAAGAGCAGGACTATTGTGACGTTGGAAGCTGTGAATGTATTGAAGACTTTGTGATGTGTGACCTAAAAGATTGCAGTGCCGATATATTACACCTAAGCGGCTTTTTCAACACAACAGAGGAACTATTTTCCAATAACTGCGAAACAGAAGTACTAACAAAACACGGAATTCTTTTCTTTCCTACCGCAAAGCAAGGAGAATACTTAAAAAAGGTTTATCCCAAAAAATCAGAACTTACCATGAAGAATTGCTTGCAAACACCGACAACCTGGAGGCAAGCGAAACTGAGCTATAATGTGCTCGTGAAAATCGACAGGCACACAATGGGTTTTTCTAAATCGCATCACCAGTGGGACGTATTCGTTACAGCTGGCCCATCTAGAGGCTTTCTGCCAGTAAAACTTACGCTCGATTTGAACGAGCTTGAGTATTTAGAGGTAAGGCTCATTTGCACCGGTTACGCAGATGTGGCCCTACCGGTAGACGTTTTTCATGCGCTGCACTCCGTGGAGAATCTCATACTTCATGTGAGCGATAAAGCTGGAGGCGTTGCTGCTTGGCGCAACTTAACAGCAACACATTTTCGCGACCTGCAGAAACTAAAGCATCTCGACTTGGCTGGCAACCGTATGCGCACGCTAACGGTCGACCTTTTCACACCACTGCCAAAGTTGCTACACTTAAATTTATCTTTTAATGCACTGCAGTCACTGCCCGCTGAGTTATTGGTGGCGCAGCAGGAGCTCATCACGCTGGACTTGAGCGGCAATGAGTTGGAGGCGCTGCCGCGTAACTTTTTCAAAAACACAAAGTGGCTACAAGAGCTGCACTTAGCCCACAATCGGCTGAGCGTACCTACGAATGTGATAGAAAATGTCGGTGGGCTTTTCAGCTTACGTCAACTTGACCTTAGTCACAATCGCTTTGAGGACCTGCTTGGCAGTGGTGTGTATGAAAATACCACATTACTCGCAGGTCCACAATATCAGCCTTTTGACCGCGTTGTATATTTGGACAGAGATATGACGATTAATCTCAGCCATAATCGCATAACGCGCTTCAGCTTTGATTGGGTGGAAAATGTTTACGACTGCAACTATCACTACGATCTCTCGCACAACAATATCACGCACGTACCATTTTTAGCGGCAGCCACATTTAAGACGCCGGAAAATTGTCAAAGAAAATGGACGCTGGCCCACAATCCGCTGCAGTGCGATTGCCAAATGTCTTGGCTAGCGGNCTATCACTACGATCTCTCGCACAACAATATCACGCACGTGCCGTTTTTAGCGGCAGCCCCGTTTAAGACGCCGGAAAATTGTCAAAGAAAATGGATGTTGGCCCACAATCCGCTGCAGTGCGATTGCCAAATGTCTTGGCTAGCGATTAACACGCATAACTTTGAAGCCGACGACTGGCAATGCGCCGCACCATCGCCTTTGCTCACACGCCTTCCAATAACACTCACGCGCGCTGAGCTTTGCAGCTGGACGCCCAATGTGTGCCCCAGCGAATGCACTTGCAACTACGATTCTACAGAACTGATAGTTAACTGTTCAGCCACGCAGCTGGTGGAAGTTCCACCGATTCCGCGTCCCGAACAGGTGGGTCTGCGTAGCACTAGTCTTTACTTGAACAATAATACAATATATCAACTGCCACGTANGAACTTATAGTTAACTGTTCAGCCACGCAGCTGGTGGAAGTTCCACCGATTCCGCGTCCCGAACAGGTGGGTCTGCGTAGCACTAGTCTTTACTTGAACAATAATACAATATATCAACTGCCACGTAACACAATATTCGGTTATGCGAATGTGTCACGCCTTTACGTAGCACACAATCGGCTGATTACGATAACCCCGTCTCACTTGCCGACCAACTTAACTATTTTGGATCTACGCGGCAACCAATTGGAGCATTTAAGTGACGACTTTCTACTAACCTATCTCAGTGAGAACGGTACTCTCAAGCAGTTATATCTCTCCAATAATCCCTGGTTGTGTGATTGCGCCGCGGAGCTGCTGTTGCGTGCCGTACGCATACAAAGTGCGCGCATACCGGACGCTTCCATGCTTATCTGCGCCAACTTGCCAAATGTCAGCCTGAAGAGCGTCGACTTCGCGCAGGTTTGTGCCTCAGTTGACATGCAGCGTAGTGCCCTCTTTATCGCATTACTCACATTGGCGCTAATGGTAATTGTGCTCATCAGCGGCATTGCACTCTTCTACAAGTACAACTTGCAGGTCAAGATATGGCTTTATGCCCATCACATAGAACTGTGCTCCATCGACGAACAGGCTGGGAATGAGATGAACAAAAAGTTTGATGCCTTCATTTCGTACGCGCATCAGCAGCAAGACTACGTTAATCGTGTGCTGCTGCCGGGTCTCGAACGCGGTGTTCCTCCTTTTCGCATTTGTATACACGAACGCAATTGGTTGGTGGGCGCCTACATACCCGAGCAGATTGTGGAGTCGGTGGAGCAATCGCGTCGCACGATTATTGTGCTGTCGCAACAATTTGTCGAATCGGATTGGGGTCGCATGGAATTTCGCATGGCGCACCAGTGTGCGCTGAATGAAGAGCGTGCGCGCATAATCATCATTAAGTATGGTGAGCTCACAAATATAGCGGGTCTGGATAAAGAGCTGCAAGCCTATTTGCACATGAATACCTATCTAGAGTGGAACGATCCAAGATTTTGGCAAAAGTTACGTTACGCTATGCCACATAAAAGCAGCGAGATGAAACAAGCTGGTATGCTGCAGTTGCCGAGTAGAGTGCGCTTCCAGCCAGGCGAGCAGCTGCATTGGTTAAGGTAGCGGAACTATGCAATTGGAGGGGAGGACTGAGGAAATGGTGATAATCCGTAAAGCACGGTTTGAAGGCTGTGGGCTATTGAAAGCCTTAATAAGACAAATATTATAATTTTTATTTTCTAAGTATGTACTTTGAAGAGTACTTTAAAGTTTTTAAATTTAAGGGGCTAAAAGAAAAACTTGTGAAGTACAAAATTTTTTTAATAAAGTTTTCAATATATCTGCAGCTCTAACCGGCAGTGCCTGATAAGAATACCTGTAAGCTTGATCATCATCACACGCTTTGATTTTGATAATAGCGCCCCGAACATTGAATATATGCCTGTGTGCTGTGTGTTTCCCTTTATTCATTTACACCAAATTTTATTAGTTATTTTCGGTTTCTCTTCTTTCACATACAAATATTAAAACCCCTTTTTTGCATTTATTTACATTTCATTTCGTTCCATTATACTTCATTGAATTTCATTTCGTTCCATTCCACTATTTTTCAGTTTATTGGACTACATTTCTTTCGTTTTACTTCATTCCATCTTCATTCTTCAATTCACTCCATTTAATTTCTCCCTATTTCTTTGCATTTCATTGCATTTAATTTAATTTTGTGTCATTATTTCTCTGTTTATTTCATTCTATTTCATTACATTTTCCTATTTTGCTTAGTTTCACTCCATCTCTCTCTGATTAACATCGTTTAGTTTTATTCCATTTCATTTCAACTTCGCTCGGTTTAATTTTCATTATATTTTCGTGCTGTAAATATTGGCTTCCATTTTTTTTTAAGTCAAATCACTCCAAGTCATTCATTCAAAGTTTATTTTGTTCCAATCACAGTTTGTTTCTCTAGCATTTGTCACTTTTTCTACTACAAGTGGTTATTGAATTTTACTATGATCGCACGCAAAACCGTTTTCATTAGTTTTCAATTTCAACTACCCATTTTCAAATATGTATTTTATATTCTATGTTCCAGTACCAGTGTGTTCCACTCATATTCCTCAATTTCTGTGCTACTGCTGTTTACCGATTTAATAAAAATTTAATAAAATTTTAGCTCATTTCCATTATGTTCCAATCCCATTTTGTTCCTCTACCGATTTTTTTTCATGGAGATAAAATATTTTTATTTTGTTCATTCTTATTCGTTCCCTTTATTTGCGGAATTTCTGTAATAAAATATCACTCCACTTTCCATCACTAAAAATGTGTCAGCAAATGTGTCATAAAAATCATAAGTTCACATAAGAATATTGGAATCCGCAAAACAATCTTGCAACATATCATTTTTCGCCAGCAAACATAAAACTTCATTTAATGTTGATTGTATTTTAGTGTTGTTGTTGGAAAAAAACTTGCCGCTAATTGCAAACTATTGGCCAAAAATATCATAAAAATTGCCAGAAGCTCTCCGCTGGCATTACAATAATAATGATAGAAAATATTAGAAATTATGATATCTACTGTCATATTTACTTTTGGCAATTTTCGCTTCCTGCACCATGAAATAAAATAAAAATATATATCTATGTAAGTATAGTATGTACGTATGTAAACCTACTGCAAAAGCTTGCATGCCGACAATGATTGCTAACAAATAAAAATGTTCGCCAAATCCTCGAATTTATAGATTCCTGCAATAGGCTTGTAATGGGCAGCCTAAAAGCACGCCCTGCTACTGCAAGGCGTAAAAGGTCCCACACATATACGCAAATGCAAGCAAGCAATCGCATAAACAATAATCAAAAACTAGAATAAAGTGAAAGGCTAGTTGCAAAAACGAAAGCGCCGCATAGTTGTTCAACCACTGGTATGTGCGGCAAGTTAGTTTACATGTGCTTGTGCGCCCCCATGTATGCAACATAAATTGTCGTAATTGAGCGGGAGTGGCTAGTTGTAAGATAGGCAATTGTAAATAAGTAAGAAAGCAGTGGACTCGTTGTAGTTTTTACTTAGATCTTCCTTGTTACGAATAAGTTTTCGTACAGTGACCGAAAAAATTGTTCCAGAACCTAGGAGTGAAAGTATGCGATAAGCAAAGAAACAACCTGCCAGTTTCCTCTCAAACAAAATGGCAAAAAAGCTTTGCCTTTTACTATACACAATTTCATTCTGATTCACTACCATTTTGTTCCACTTCCAGCTTGTTCGCCTTTAAAATATTTTATAATTCTGCAAAATCCTTTCTCAGTTACGTTTTTTTCTGTGCATTAATTTTATTTTATTTTTTATTTTATTTTATTTCCATTTCGTTCCATACCAAATATTTTTCTATTTCAAAAAATCCTATGATTTGCTTAACACTTTTCACAACTGAATTACATTCTCATTTTGTTTCTATGCCACTTTGTTTCGCCGGAGCCAATATCCGTCAACTAAATTGTTTATGTTTAATTTCGCACTGTTTCAATTTATTTTTGCTCCTAGTCCTGCTTTAGTCTTCTGCGAAATTTCTTTGTTAAATTTGCGCCTCGTTTGAAACTAATATTTTTTTCCATTCGGGAAGCCGCTATGCTATTTTGTCAAAATGCAAAAACCTTTTTTATATTTTAATTCGCTCCTATTCCGTTTTGTTCCCATTTATTTTTTCTTAGCATGAATAAATTGATGTTATTTTACAAATTTCCGTCCCCTGAACTTCTTCTCTCTTTTTCCGTAGTGTATTAATTCCTCCTTTATGTTTCAATCCCATTTCGTTCCAATAAAATTAAGATAATTTATTTTTGATCAATTTAGTTATTTCCTATCCATACAAATACGTTCCAATTCCACGTTGTTCCGATTCTATTTCGGTTCTATGACCTTTCCTTTCTAAAATACTTATAATATTTAAAATTTCCGTAAATTCCATTCTCATTCCATTTCGATTCTGTGCTTATTTAAAAGCTGAAATTATATTTCTATACATCATTCGCGGCCTCACATTGCCGTTTTGCTATTGTCGGCGCATTAGTCGTACTACATACATTCAGAGTTTCCTCGCTGCCTCTCTGAAGGCTAATGAAAAAGTGATAAAAGTGTCGAGTGCATTATTGCCAAATAGCCTCGCGACAATAGCGAAGAAATCGCACCAATAATAAACGTAGACGCACACTCACGTACCATATTAAGCGTATATGTAGTTAAACAAGTGCGCGTTTCCTAAAGGCATTCAATGTGTGCATGTATGTATGCGTACCTTGAGATACCCTGCAGATAAAAATTATCAACTGATAAAAATTATCGAATTGAGGACAAATAATAGGAAGATCGAAATTTCATATTATCATTTTGAAGTTATGTCTGACGGAGTTCGAATATGGGACCACCTACAGCAGAATATGTAAACAAATATGAAATGTAATAAAATAAATAAATTAAATAAAATAAAAAAAAATAAAAATAAAAACTAAAAAAAATATTTTGTTTTTCCTATTAATATTTTATGTCCAAAAGTAGTTAATTACAAGTTAGTTACATCAAATGCAGAGGTAACCACCCTTGACTATTTCGCGGCCATCGCCATAGAAATATAGTTAGCTTTCGTCAAAGGAAATATACAGGTAATAAGTGACTTTAAGCTCTTTCCTAATCAACTTAAAGTTAGCTTATAGTTAGATCCATTTCCTGCAGGGTACATTTACTTATTCTCAACTACACAAATATTTTCTACTGCCGCCTACTGATTTTACGTGCCTACTTTAACGTGGAAATACCGTGGAAATGTTGTTAGTTTTATTATTGTCACATGTAAGCATTGCTGTTGTTTTCGGTTTTGTTGCTGCTGTTTTCGCTTGTCATACATATGTATATACGCGTCCTTTCTGCCCTTTGCTATTATTTTGCACTTACTCTAACATGATCGTAAATATTTTCCTATGCTATTTTATATTGATACTACGGCAGACAATGTTGCTCGCCACTGGCCCCAATTCTTCCCCACTTTTTCGCTGCTTTCACTTCATTCTCCCGCCGCACTCAATATAAACGTATTTATTGCAATTATTTGTTGCTTCTGCTGCTTTGGTTCGTGCAGTTATTCAACCTGCGCTTATTTGGGACATTTAACAGTTACAGCTGTTGGCAGTTTTATGAAGGCACTCGTGGGCTGGGGATATCCACATACTCATGAATTTCCGGCTATAACTATGGCAAGTCCACGTACGTTTATATATATGTACATATATGCATATATTTATATGTGTCTTTCTATGTCTTGTGTCCGAAATTTTTATTGTCCATCCAATTTATTACAAAAACGTACGCGCAAGTGTTGGCCTTCATAATTGCTTGCTTATTTGGCCAGTTGTTCCAGCGAATCTGCTTTTGTGTGCAATCTTTTGATACATATTTCTCCAATGTCCTTGTTCTTTTGCTTTTGCTACGCTTGTTTTGTTCGGCTGTCAAAAAGCAATAATCATCAATTCTGATTTTTTCTCTCTTGTATTGTGAAAATGATTTTTTCTACTTAAGCGCATTATGGGTGATGTCCTTTTTCACGATTTTATGGCATAGCTGAGTGCAATTGTGATTTTGTGCGGTTATTTGATTTCAATTTGATGAGTATTTATTGGCAGCGGGATTACTTACGCATATATTTTTGTGTGTATAGGTTTAAGTACTCATATACCAACCTACCATAGTCCATTAAAATAACTATTCCATCCTAGAATTGCAGCATATTCAAAGCTATGATATTCGGAGCCCTTGATACCACGTTCCTTCCCTGCAATACCTAAGCCATTTCCAAGCTGTCTAAGAAAGACCCAAAGAGAGACTTTGGAAAAGAAAAGCCTCAGGCACAAAATACTGTTAGAATGATGGTGCTACAGTTTTTCTTCTAACCATGAAAGCCTTTCCATACCTATATGAACATCTTTTGTGCCTAATTGAGGCACTACTAAGCATTCCTTCTCTACATATCGCTGTCTTAAAAGAAGCTTAAAGTTTCTTAATTATGCCGATAGTATATACACCGACGACTCCCACACTGGCCAATACTTCGAGAAAGAGATGTGTTTTTCCAATCTAAAACGGGAATGTTT